TTTTGTTCTTCAGTCTAGTTGTGGAGGACATTGCTTCACTGGCCCATGTTGGTATTATCATTGCGCTCTTCCTGGGTGAGGCAGTCACTCGCTGGCCATTGGACGGCCGCTCACAGCGGCTCACAGCAGCTCACAAAAGCTCACACCCACTGCTGGGCCAGCCCCACTGCAGCTTACGCCGTCACTGGTGACTCACGGTAGCCCAGCTCCAGGTAGAGCTGTTGTTCACCATCTTAGCTGTAGAAGGCGCAGCATCACTGGCCCTCATGTGGGATCCGAACCAGGGTCCTGCTGCTCAGAGCTGGCGTCCCAAGCCAACTAGTAACCAATGTGCCACTCGGCCAGCCCTGGGGGTGGTAGGCGGTAGGGGGGTTCACTTCTTAAATCATATAAATGTCTAACCACTATGCTGTACACCTGCAACTAATATAAAATAATAGTGAATGTGAACTGTAATTGGGAAAAAACAAAACAAAACAGAATCCTCCCTAAAAACAGATAAGTAAAAGAATTTAGTCACTCCATGCCACTGCCTATAAATTCAGAAGGCTCCTCCCAGCCCAGGAGAAGGTGCTGTTAGAACATGACCTCACACTTCTCCATTCCTTGATCAAAGAATAAAGTTTCAGTTCTGCTTTAAACCCCCTCCCCCACCCCTGAAAAAGAGGTTTACCTATGCAACAAGAAGTGCAAGGATGGAGGATGGTGTTACAACATGCCCAAGCCCAGCTCTAGCAAGTCTTGGGATTGGGAGGTATTTGGATTAGTTCTAGGTTATCACCAAATATTCTATTAATTTAGAGTTCTTGTAGCTCTCCAGGATTGTTATGGTCTGTATCCAAATATGTAGTGTGGGCCAAACAAGATTTATGGCCATGGAATTTCCTTCCCTTGGTTATAGTATCAGGGCTTCTTGGGAAACCGTGGTGTTTTTTTAAAAATACATTTTCATTCTTTGAATGAACCGGATGGGTAGGTGTTAATCATTATCGTTCTCATACATTTCCTTATTTTGTTCAGCTCAGGGCTACTTCATTGTTAGTCTCTCAATATTTAATCAAGATGTGTACCTGATTAGTACACATAACTTGGCACTGAGAAATCTCTCCATATGATTTGATAGTTTTAGTTTGAGTCACTGATTTATGTTCTATTGGCATTATTTTACTTTATTTTTTCCTTTGACCATATCTTTTTTTTCTTTTATTGCTCAAACTGATAACATTTTTTTAAAAATTAAAGCTTATTGGGGTGACAATTATTAATAAAGTTACATAGGTTTCAGATGTACAGTTCTGTAATACATCGATCGCCATATGACCCAGCAATCCCCCTCCTGGGTATATGTCCAAAAAACCTGAAAACATTTATCCATAAAGATATATGTGTTCTGATGTTCATTACAGCTTTACTTACAGTGGCCAAGACATGGAAACAACCAAAGTGTCCTTTGATAGATGATTGGATAAAGAAGATGTGGTATATAGACACAATGGAATACTATTCTGCCTTAAGAAAAGATGAAAGAAGGCCGACCAAGTGGCTCAGTTGGTTAAGAGCTTGCTCAAGAGTGCAAGCTCTGAGCAACAGCGGTTCGATTCCTGGCCTGAGCTGAGCTGCCACTGAGCTGCCAACAGGTGGCAGGATGGCTCAGCTAAAGAAAAAAAAAAAGGTGAAATAGTTCCATTTGTGACAACAAGGATAGATCTTGAGATGATTATCCTAAATGAAATAAGGCAGAAAAAGTTGAGAACCATATGATTTCACTGATATGTGGGATATAAAACTAGCGGCATTATTTTAAAGATCTAAACTATTAATTAATATAAGGACAAAGAGCACATCTCTGACTATGCTGGCTAGAGATGGAAGATTTGGCCTTAATTTCTTCAATAATGAATTTGTATTCCTTCAAACATGTATCCATGGAAACAACAGAAATTAAAAGGGGCCACACCCAGCCCTTTTGTACTTAATAAGTTCTTGTATTTGCTTACACGTTGTTCTAGTTTAGGTAGGTGGTTTGAAAGTTTAAAAAGTTTCCTAGTTAGGTCGATGCTAGGGAAAGGAATGGAGAGACTTAAAGAATTTTTGAATATTTGATGTAAAAATACAAAGCTCTTTGTAAACCTCAGCTCTGCTAATCCACCTATCTCTTCTTATCCATGAAAGCCAGCCAAATCAAATACATTGTTTTAGGGCATAAGTACTACCTAAGCAATAGCAGATAAACCTAATCCAGTTACATTTGAAAGCTATGCCAATCAGAACAGCCAGCTGCTTTTTATTATGATTCATCCATAGAGGCTTGGAAAATGCTTTTATGAAACATGGAAAATGCCTTATTTCTATGGGGCTCATGATCTTCATCTGTATTATCAGGTTTTGGGTTATCTCCTCTCAGGCCCATTCTGACTTTAACATTCAGTTATAATCTGTAATTGATAATTCATCATCAGATTTTTATTGGGAACCATTTAATTAGAAAAAATTGTCCACCCTGCTCATGTTGGAGCCCATGAAAAGGACTGGGCTGCTGCTTCCTTGCAAGTACCTAACATTATGCTATGTACACCTTAAGTCCCGCCCCCTGCCCCATTTTTTTTAAATTAATGAAATCACATCAACTCTCCTATAATTAATGGGAAAATGATAACTTCATCAAGAAAATTTCTGACTTTTATTATATTTTTATTTAAATATTAGAAAATATTCATGCTAGATACAAATGACTAGCTACTACTATATTAATATGTGTAATTGTATGAACACCAGTCTCACCATTTGAAAGGACCTTCCCAACTATGTAAGAGGTCCTCTGCCCATGAAGGTGGACATATATCTTCAGATATAATCTTTTATAATATACCTCATAGAATCTTTGGTTCCTTCATGTGATTTAGGGTGATGATATACTCAGCGACCGTGGTTTATTTCATGGTCACTGAAAGAAAATGGTGAGGTATGTTTGGAGTGTCAAGCTTTGCTCTATCTGTCTATCTGTGTATCTATCGATCTATCTAACACTATCTCTAATCACCATTTTCCTTTTCATTTTTCTTGAAAATACCGAGAACATTTAAGCCTGCCTCCTCCCCATTCTCATGTATACATTGCAAACATAGATAACTTGTAAATTAATAGAAATGCTTAAGTCTTCCCCCCAGTGAAAGATGGAAAGAGAGGTAAGGTGGCATCACACAGTAGATTCTATTGCTAGAGTCCATCCTACGTCCTGCTAATCTCAGTGCATATCTGTGCAATTCACTGTAATACTCCCATGACTTGTGAAGTTATTTCCAATTCCTGATCCATCCTAGGTGAGTGAAAATGTGTACATTAGTGCTGTTCTTGTTTCACAAAAACATAGGGAAGACTCTTTTAAATTTCATTTTTATGTTATTTGAAATGTTAGCTCTTCATGTGTTTCCTGGAAGACTAGCAATTGTCAGGGGAAGGGTTTTATTCTCTTCCCCTGACTACGTGACACTTCGCTTTCCCCCCTAATTCCTCTTCTCTTCTTCCTCCTTATTCTCTCTAGCTCTTTCTTTTTCTTCTCATCTCCTCTTGCTTTTCCACATGCTCTTTGTTCTTGCTACAGGCCGTTATCAGCACATGGCACTGTCAAGTGAGCTCACAAGAGCCAGTGGTAAGCCAGGGGTCGTCTGGCTTTGTTTCACTGAGGGCATTGCCAGGAATGTACATTACATTTACTTCCGGATAGTCTTGGAGAAGTCCACACGCTCCAGGACTGGGAAATCCAGAGCAGTCCACCTGGTCATTCCCAGGAGATACTAGACACCTGCAGTGTGCCCTACGGAAAAGCAGTAAAGAAATCCTCACTTAGATATTTCTTGATGACCTGGGCATAAAATGAATAGTGGGCCTGGAAAATTCTATGCTGAGACCAAGTTTCAATTTCAAGCAATTACTAATATAGTAATACTTGCTGTAATCATTCCCCCCCCCCCCCCTAAGTACCCAGAAACCTAGAATTTACCTTGGCAGAGACTCAGGAAGGATTTCTGCTGGCACATGGGAAAGAGGTAGATAGAGGCATCCCATGATCCTTTACTATAACAAAGTCGATGCCACATGGATCTGGTTTATTTCTGAACCGAATGGGTAGCAGTAACAACATGTGTCAGATCTGTGTGGATCTGTCTGCAGGCTTTGGCAAAGAAAAAAAAAATCCCAAGTGTTAAATATTAATCTAGGAGTCCTGTTTCTGCTTAAAAGCAACAGCTCTATTCCAGTTCAGTGTCTTCACCTGTAAAATGGGGATAATAACAGTATCACCTTCATAAGATTTTTGCAAGGAGAAAACGAAATAACATCTGTAAGGTGTTCAGCATAGTGCTTGGATATTATGTTAAGTACATGGTAACTGTTGTTCATTTGTTGAAAAACAAAGTTACAGGAATTATGATTTGAGATTTCCCTACAAAAAGTGAAAGCGAAAGCAGTTTCCCAAATAACTGCAGAGGGTTACTCCCTGCTGCATTCTTTTCCTAGTCCCCATAGAATGTCTGCCTTTGCAAATATATGTGCGTATTACATGTGTGCCTGTGTTTATGTCTCTCTTTGCACATCGTACCGCCAACCCAGGGATGGTCTCTGAGGGAGCGGAGGCTGTGATTATAAATCAAGTTGGGAAAGAGGAGAGACTCTTATCGGAATGTGTTCCCTCACGTCAGCACCCAGAATAACTGCAAAGAACAGAGGATGTGGGGTCCTTCAGTCACCTATGGTACCTGACATACAACCCCGGCTGGGAGGATGGGACCATTTCTGGGCTCAACTGTATGATCAAAAGAATCGCTTGTGTTTGGAATTGGTTATATTTGAGAACATAGGGATTCAAGTTCTACAGAACGCTGCCGTTTTTCTTTTGGCTTGGGGGAGAATAAATGCTATGGGCTTGGGCTTGGGCTGTGCCTAATATAGTCTCTTAAGAACCAAACTATGTCAAGAAACCAGAAATTAGAGTATATAACAGTCTTTTACTGAAATGTTGGTTGTCGATATTTTGGCCCGTGTAAAAGAAGTTCCCTGAACTTCCAGCCATCAGCACCGTCTCGTGTTGTGTTCAGCGCGTCCTCTCCCTGCCCGCTCCTTCCTAAAGCCTTAGCCGGACTCCTTGTTGATTGTTTTGTTCTTTCGGTCTGTTGTGTTGTGAGTTGTCCTACACATTTTCTAGCTTGGGTGGCAAGTTATATTTGCCCCCCGGGACATGCACTTGTCTGCGGCACTCTTTGGACAAACCTTCTCCACCTGTATGGTGGGTCTGACTTAGAGGTTGCAGTGTGACGTAATGGAAGTGTGCGCCATCACATTTGCTAAATGCGAGCAGCAATTGGTAGGAAGTTTCTGGAACATGTGAAATCCTTTAGGCTTTACATTTTGATGCCAACGTTAGACATAAAAAAGCTAAGGTTTAGCATCCAAATGATCCAGCAAATTATCATCGGAAATGATATTTGACTAACAAATGGATGTAGCCATATGAGGAAGGATAGAATACTGTTTGATGTTTATGCTTTAAACATTTATATAAAATCTATTCTGTGCTGACACATAGTAAGCCTTTTGTGAACATTTCTTGATTGAATAAATGAGGAGAACTATGCAATCTGGATGAGCAGTTAGAAAGCTGGTTGAGACAGGTCAGGGTTTTCTTGTAATAGGGTGGTTTTGATGGAGAGAAAACCCCGGAAAGGGCAGCAGCATGTGTAGAGCAACAGAAGGGTCTGTGCAGGTGAGGCTGGGGACCTGAGGGGTGGGGATGGGGGTTTAGGGCTGTGCTTCTTAAACTTCTAGCACCTGTGGTGAAGGAACATGTTTGTTTTGTTGTCTTAAATTTCCAATCTGCTGGGACCAATACTTTTATAAAATGCAATAACGAGTTACTAAAAAAATGATCATGTGATATAGAAAGGTCTCTAAGTGCTAACTTTCCATCTCTGTACCTACCTCATCAGGGACCAGTAAAAAGCAGTTCGGACAACAGGCTGCAAAACACACTCTGAGTAGCACTAATTTAGGGAACGGTCAGAGATGAAGCTTGGAAGAGGTTGGAGTTAGATTATCAAGAAACTTGTATGTGATTAAATGATCTTAAACTTTATGCTCTCCAAATTGGCATGAATTATCTTCCTGTATTGGCATTGCACGTTAACTTACTTAAAACTTTTGTTCTGAATAGTTGTTTGATAAAACATGTCTTTTTTAAAAAAGCTGTTTGACTTAGCAGATGTGGGTCAGCGTCCCATACATTGCTGGGTGCCTTTTTTATTTTGGAAATAAATAACCTGGTTTATGGAAATTTGGGGTTGTAATGGAACACTATGTCCTCCAGGTTTTCTCTATCTTGTATCTGGTATCATCCGAGCTGGTTGGATTTTACAGCAGATTTCTCAGGAGACCAGAACTGATCTGTGAACCCTCCTGCCTTTTGTTGTCGTGCGCTCTCATAATATCTTTCCAGTCACCAGGTTTCAAGATGCTACGAATACATAGGCTCAAGCTGGATGGGCTGGGGCTCCGCCTCTTCAGAGGGCTTCACCACAAACCTGTGATGGCCGTGAGGCGGGAGGATGTGAACGCCTGGGAGAGGAGGGCCCCGCTGGCCCCCCGGCACGTCAAAGGAATCACCAACCTGGGGTACAAGGTCTTAATACAGCCTTCCAATCGGCGGGCCATTCATGATAAGGTAAACATTTCCAATTTTTAAGTATGTGGTTATGAATAAAATGACCCTGCATATGAAAAGTAAGGAGCATCCGAGTGAAAATAAAATGTTTGCTAGGGTCACTTAAATACCACATGGCACTATTCCTCTACTTTGGTTATGAGATTTCTAATCCGAATCCTTGATGGAGTCCACAATTCAACCAATAAGGGTTATTTTCACCCATTCCATGCCTTCTCCAGTGGAGGGATGGAGGGATTGCTTTCGGAAGGAGATGAAATCCTCCAGTCCTCCTCTCCTTCATGGGCGACCCTCTTCTGGGACTGGGGAGAAGAGGCCAATAGGACACTTGGGTTTTCACTTGTCAGACTTGCCTCCAGAAAATGCTTCATGGGATAGAGTTTATTCATGAGAGGTTGCCTTGCCAGCCAGTGTGTGAAGCCCTTTACATTCACCATTCTGTTTGCTTTTCACAATAATCTTATATAATTTTGAGTCTTATTTTCATTTTAGAGATATACATGGGCTGTTTCTTCCCTGAACCATTTGAAAATATGTTGCAGACATCATGACACTTCACTACTAAATGCTTCAGTATTCATTTCAATATCATTTTCCTACATAACTGTCATATCATTTTCATACCCAAAGAAATTAAATAATTCCATAATATCATCTCACATAGTCCATTTTTAATTTCCCATTGTCTCAAATGTCTTTTAGGGTCTTTCATTTTAAGTGAGGCTTAATTAAGGTTTCTTCCATTTATTATTATATCTCTTTAGTTCTTTTAATCTAACACAGCACCCCCCTGTCGATTGTTGTGTGTTTCTATGACTTTGACTCTTTGAAGAGTCCAGGCTAGTTGACTTGTAGAAGGTTCCACTTCTGGGTGTAACTAGTTTGGTTTTTACCTCATGATTAGGTTTAGGGTATATGCTTTTGACATAAATATTCCATGAGTGATATATGTTCTTTCCACTGTATCACATCGAAGACACAGAAAATCAGGTTGTCACATGATTGGAAATGCACAATCACTTGGTTGAGGTGGTCACCGCCAGATCTGTCCATTACACGAGTACGTTTTTCCCTTTGTAATTCCTGAGTCATCTATGGGATCTTTTGAGACCTGTGGATCTCCTGTTTCTCAACAGCCTTTCAACTCATGATGTTACATCCATTGATAATCTTTGCCGAAATCAGTTTTTACATGGAGGCTTGCAAAAGAATGAGTTTCTGATTTTATCACTCTTCTAAGTTTATTTCCTGATAGTCTTCTGTATGTAATAAATTTCCCTTAGTTTCTCCCTTCTCTCTTATGCTTTTGATTTTCATTATGGGTGCATGAGCTTTTTTCATTTAATGTATGATGATCCATTAACTATCAGTCTTTTTAATGCCCTAATGATTCCCAATTTGGGATAGTGAGAGTCCCTTTAAGGGGGCTACTATGTCTTTGGACATGAATCCTTTCATATTTGAGCTTTCTTGTCGCCTGCAACAACAAATTGTCCTAGCTCCACCTTGTGTTTTTTCTTTGCCACACCTGGAATTAGCCATATCATCAGGGAACCCTGATTTCTTTCAGTTTTAGAAACCAAGATCTAGTATCTGGTGTTAGGTGAACTTATTACTGAGATATTGTTGCTTGTAGCACTTTTAGTGGACAGAGCTAAGAAATACACAGACACAAGCACACATACATATATATTATTTAGTGAGTCAATACTGATATTTCCAATTAAAATTTAACATTGCAGGTTTTTCTTACCTTTAAATTTTTATATTTGCATCTGTTTTCTCCAGCAATGAAAATTTTAATTCTTTATAGCATTAATGCACATGTTTTGCTTTACCCTATAATATATAGAAAATAACTTTGGAGTCACAATGCTAATATTACAATTAACAGTAAACCTATTAATGCTAAGAGAATAGACCTTAACAGTTCTCATCACAAGAAAAAAATTCTGTAACTGTGTAGTTACAGATGTTAACTGGACTTACTATGGTGATCATTTTGTGATTATACAAATACGAATCATTGTGTTGAACACCTGAAGCTAATATAATGTTGTATGTCAATTAAACCTCAATAAAAAACTATATTAAGTGGAGTTTAATATTTCTTTGAAGAATTTTTTCCCCCTTTAGAATATATCTCACAAAGAAAATTCAGGATACTGGGTTTAAAAGTTATTTGAATTATATTTTTTCTGTGTGGTTACATTGTCAATGTGATATCCAGTTGGATTCATTTATTTTTTTGTTTCTATTACATTCTAATGTTTGCTTTTAAATCCTTTTGATTTAATTTTATTTTCAAATAATTTAAACATTTACAAGTTTCAATTATTAAAACTATGCAAAAAAGATGTAATGCAGAGAAGTCTTCCTCTCATCTTAAACCCCTACATCCCATTACCCTACCACCCCATAGATTACTATTTTTGTTAGTTTCTGATCTATCATTCCTAAGTTTCTTTTTGGAAAAATAAGCCTGTGAGTGAGTGTGTGTGTGTGTGTGTGTGTGTGTGTGTGTGTGTGTGTGTGTGTTCTTATTTCCTCTTCAGTCTTATACAGAAGGTTGTATTCTATCGATATATGAGTAGAACATGTATAAGACGCACCTTAATTTGGGGCCCGAAATTTGAAAAAAAAATGTATTACATAAAATTATTGAACTCAAGCTTTATTCATCATAAAATTCATACAACTCCTCATCACTGTAAAAAAATCTACAACCACTGTATAAGACGCACCCAGTTTTTAGACCCCAGATTTTTCGAAAAAGGGTGCGTCTTCTACATGGGGAAATACGGTATACTCTTTTGCTCCTTGCTTTGTTTAGTCAGCAGCACATCCTGGAAATCACTCCATGTCCGCCTATAGAGATCTGCTTCACTCTGTTTAATGGCGATGCAGTAATTACTCCATTGAAATTACTTCATGATTTATTGTGATGTGTTTAACCAATCTACTATAAATGGGCAAATAGATTGTTTTCAAAGAAACCAGGTATGACCCGTATGCTCATTCTTTTACCATCTCTCCTATTCATCTTTACTTTCCTTTGAAGTAGGTTTCCAACTAGATTTATCTTCATTTTATTCAACTGCCACCTTTGATGTTCTTTTAATTCTGCTTGGATCAAGCCACCCCTTTATTTAAAAATCTGAAATAACTGTCTATTACCTTCATGTACTAGCTATGCGATCTCAGTTAGGTGTGCAACCCTCAGGTTTCCCATTGATAAAATGGGGATGATAATAGTACCTACCTCATGGGATTTTTATGAGAATTAAATGAGATAATTCATGCATAGAGCTTAGTGAAGCACATAGTAGTTTATTAATAAATGTTAATGATTATTAGTTTTATTTTTTATCCATTGAAGCTCATATTCATCATGGTGGTATTCAGTCTACTTTTCCAATTTGATTTACCCCATTCTGCCCTAAATAGCTTCACTTTCCTGCCTTCATGTTTGTATGTATTTCTTCAATGCCTTTTATTGATATTGCCACCTCATATTTCCCATCTCCATCTTTCCAATCCTACTCAGCCTTTTAGATGAATTTAAATTTCCATATTTTTTTCATCAGCTCACTTGGAAATTGTCTCAATTAAACTAATATATCACTTAGATTCTGCTGATCATAATGTTCTTTGGAATTCAGCCTCATTTACTGTGCTTCTGATTTCTTTTTACTGTATTTTGTGAGCTCCTTTTCAGGAAGGATCTTGTCTGTCCTTTGTGTCTTACTTATCATCTCATCTGTAGCACAGTCCATGGTACGGAGTCGGGCAGTAATAAATACTAATTAAACAAACAAAGAAAAGAAAAATAAATATTGCAGATATCTTTCTTTTAAAAATGCACCTGAGTAGAAAATTACTATTTAGCATTTAATGTTTCTGTGCATTGTTGATACAAAATAAACATTTTACAATTATATTTAAAAACATGTGCTAGTGATCACAACTATTATGATGAAACTATGAACTTCTTAAATAGGAATATGTGCTGAATTTTCTTTTTTTCTCTATAAAACGTGTTAGATTGATCTTTTTAGTCAGCAAGTAAAAATATTAGTAGTTGTTCTATTATTTGTTCTAATCCATACAGAATTTATTCCTTCAGTAGTTTGTACCTTTCATTGCTACACTTATTTATTCAAGAAAATATGACTACAATTAATTGGGGGAATAACTTTTAACCTAAATTACCTTCTCAGGAGTATGTCAAAGCTGGTGGCATCCTTCAGGAGGATATTTCTGAAGCTTGTCTAATTTTGGGAGTGAAGAGACCCCCAGAGGATAAATTAATACCCAAGAAGACTTATGCATTCTTCTCCCACACCATAAAGGCCCAGGAGGCCAACATGGGCTTGTTGGATGAGATTCTAAAACAGGTAATTAGTGACCAATATTCATAAATGTTAACACAGAAACATGTTTTTTTATTTTACTTTTATCTGTCAGTGGAGTTTCAGTTTTCTCTGGGCATCTAGGAAATACATCATTATTCACCTCAACAGGAAAGGTAATCTACGAGGTAGTGCTTGAATGGTTCTGCTGGTCTTCAGGCTCCTCTGCTGCGTGCGTTTGTAAGAGGATCAAACACGTTTTATTCCTTTTGTATTTGGAAGTGGGAAGCATGATAGAAGTGTTCCCCCCAAATGATCATCAATTTATAAGGCCAATTGGTCAAATATTATCACCAAGTAGAATTTTAGAGCTGGAAAGAACCTCAGGGATCCTATAATGCACCACCCTAATTTCTCAGATGGAGCCCAGGGGGGTGAAGGGACTTGACTGAGGTTGCACAGCTCTGACGGGCCAGAACTGGAGTAGAGACTATTTTTTACATTTATTAAAATTCATAAGGAGAGGGAGAAGGTGAGAGGCGGCAAGAGCGGAGTGGTGATCCTGGGCGGAGGGGTGGCCTGGGGGGATGTGGGCTGTGGCGGGCAGCTGACAGCAGGGTGGGAATTGGGAGGGTGTGTGCCCTTTAACACTGGTGGGCGCTTCAGTGAGGGGTTGGGAGGCAGAGGGTGTTTTGTATTTCTCAGGCCGGCCTTTAATGGGGAAAGTATGTAAAGCAGGAGACAGCAGGTGGTAAAATATAGAAAAAAATATTCATAAAGGGAAAAAGAACATTTTTTGAGATCTAAATACTATGGAAAAACCGTCATCTATTTACAACAGAGAATTCATTCAACAAATATTGACTGAGTGCCTACGTTATGTCTGCAATGCCAACAGAATATCCCTGTCTTCAGAGCTTACATTCTCGTAGGAGGAGACAGAGGATAGATGAATACAATTCTCACGAGTCACTTGGCGATATGTGTCATGGAGATAAGTTTGACACAGAAGGAGAGAAAGAGCGCTGGGCCCTGGGGGAGATGACAGTGCTAGTTTAAATAGGGTGACCAAGGAGAGCCTCACAGCCAACTTGGCATTGAGCACAAGTTTAGAGGAGATGAAGAATCAAGCCTTATTCATCTGGGAAGTCTTCCAGGCAGAGAGAACAGTAATGTAAAGCCCCCCGGGAGTCTATCTTAGCAGAGCGTGCGAGCAAATCATGTTTGAAAATGCTTGTGCTTGTTCTGCCTGCTGTGTGGATAACAGCTGGAGGTGGAAGGAGAAGAACAAAACTGATAAGAAGACGAAGTCTAGACTAATCTAGATGCTAAACAAATGACAGTGGCTTGCACGAGGGTGGTGGAAATGGCGTTTATGATACATGGACAAACCGTGGATGCGTTTTAGAGGCCTGATCTTACAGGAATCATAGATGACATGAAGGTGGGATATAAGAGAAAGAGAAGTCAGAGATGACTGCAAGACTTTGGCCTGAGCAATTGAAGGGAGCTGCCCTAGATAGAGACCATGCGACTACTGCAAGGGGGCCGGCTTGGATGGAGGGTCAGGAGTTGAGTTTAGGGCCTGTTTAGTTTAACGTGTCCACTAGACATCCAAGGGGAAATCCTGAATGGGCCATGGGGACATGAGTTCGTAGCTCAGGAGGGCAGTTTTGTAGCTGTCAGAGACTAGATGACATCTCAAGCCATGAGACTGGATAAGGGTGGGGAGTGAAGGTAGATAGATAGAGAAGTCCCCAGGTCCTGGGGTAAGGATGTTAGAGCATTAGAAGCTGGAATCTGAGAATAAGCAGAGAACAGGAAAGTTCACAAACAGTGAAAACAATGGAGAAAAAAGTATTTTATATTGGTGTAGAGAATACATTCCTCTTAATTTCAAATGTACTAGCACTGAGCTGTAGTTCATTTGCAGTGTTTCTGAAGAACAGATTCAAAACGTTAATTAATGGAAATAACATTATAAGAAGAATGTTTCACCTTAAGCAGATAAACTCTTTAAAAAGTACTTTAGAAACATTTTTTTTGTTGTTATATGAACATTTGTTCATTATAAGAAAATTAATAAAAACAGACCCAGCAGGGCTTCTTTTTGTCAGCAGATTGTAGCCAATTACTTGGAGTTGAATGAATGTTAAACATTCTTAAATTCATGCACATGCTAAAGTAATATAATATTTAAGGAAATAAAACCACATTCCACAATTATGATGTGTCAATAGCTTTTAACCATGAACAAGTAAGATATTCCCAAGGGAAGGAAGATCCCCAACAAAAGAGGAAGACTGTGGTTTTAGTGAAGGGAAGGAAGTGAAAAACAGGCAGCCTGTTGTACTTTTAAAATGAAGGTTGCTCGTGAAAGGATGGAGAGAGAGAGAGAGAGAGAGAGAGAGAGAGAGAGAGAGAGAGAG